ATCTGGTATAGGAGGTGTTTTCAGAGATAATGAAGGCAAGATAATGGCTTTTTCAGGTCCAATAGGAGTTGGAGATTCCTCAAGAGCGGAAATCTTGGCACTACATCAAGGTGTAAAACTGGCCAACCAGTTGGGGCTACAGCAGATTGAGATAGAGGGAGACTCCAAATTGGTAATTGGGTGGATGCAATCAGGGCAGCTGAGTGTTTGGTTCAAGTGGGTAAGGAGATCAGCAAATGGTTTTGCTGACGCCCTAGCAAAACAAGGGACTGCAAGGGAGAGTCTTTTTTGGGCAGTGCTGTAATGCTTGATGTTTATTGGATCAACCTTTTCTAATAAGGGTTGAATTCTGTATTTCAGGTTAATTTATCTCTAACGAAAGTTATCGTTTCTGATAAAAAAAAAATTGTCTAGGTGCCTGCATAGGCGACTAGGCAACTAAGCGCCCCAGTGTCTCCCAGAATAGCGTAGACACCTTGAAAACTATGGCTTGCATGTTAATCTAGTGCTTCATGGGCTAAGATTAAGGGAGTGAAGGTTTCCAAGAACTATTGTTGTTTTACATAGTACCCAAATTGACACCAGTAGGGAGGATAGGAGAGTGTGGAATTGGGAAGGTTCTGACCAATTTCTGGGAAGACTTTTTATACCCAAATAACAAGGCAAGAGACTAGTGCTTTCCTTTGCTAATGTTGTGTGGCGTGGAAATGTGCCCTCATAAGTATCTTTCTTTGTTTGCACTGCTTCTTGGAACAAGATTTTAACCAGGGACAACCTGATAAAGAGGGGGATAGTGATGAACAAAGCAGAATGTGAATTGTGTGAAGAGCATATGGAATTGGCAGATCACGTCTTACTTAACTGCAAATTTGCTTACACAATCTTTTCTAGGATTATGATGATATTTGCTGCCAGAGAGTGTTTTCTTGCTTCAATTGAGGAGTTATTGAAAGGGTGGAGATTGGAAAGCTTGAACAAGAGAGGAAGAATTATATGGAATACATTTCCAGCAGAAGTATTTTGGATGATTTGGCAAGAAAGTAGCAGCAGACTTTCAAAGGAAGTACAGTTCAGCTGAATCTGTATATTCAAAGATAAAAGGAAAATTGTAGTCTTGAGTATCTGCATACAAAGAGTTTACAAGTCATTTTTTGTTTATGAAATATGAAATGGTCCAAACAAATATGAAATGCAACGAATCACTAGAAATCCCAATTGTCACTGCAGTCTATAATCGAATGTTGTTGGGTTGTGTGATGCGTCCTTTGAGTAGAACCAACTTCTATCTGGTGCCAATGATCCAGTTGTTGAGATGGTCACTTGGCAACCCTCAAAATAGGAGGTGCAGGATCGAACCCACCCGAACCCCAGGCTCTCTGGGAAATGGCCAGTGGGCCTCATGTGAACCCTACTCTGCTCTTGTGCCTCACCTCCGAATCTCCTGTAATGTGTTGTATATAATACCAAATAAAAACTTATATCTGGTATTTTTTATTGTAATTTTTGGTGGATCTTCTATGTAAATATTCTTTTATCTGTTGCCATTATGGGTAGTGTCTCATGGCTCCATTGTGAGTAGCACAACTGCTTACGTGCTAGGAATACACTCATTTTAGATGGTCAATTTTGATCGTTAAGATTCTTTTAGTCCAGCTGGATTATCAATTGTATTGATGGTAATTCTTTACGAAAGCACATTTATGTGCATGTGTTCATCTAGTATTTGTGGATCCATGGAAACTTTTATTGAGCTGGTTTAGTGTGTATTTTTAGATTTATTTTAAATGCTGGAGATTGAAGAAGTTCATGTTAAATCACGGAGCTGGCTACTTACTATACCTTCTCCTTCCCTTTTATGCTATTTAGTGTTATACACTGTTAGGGATAGGGACATTCAGTGTTCTTTGGGTGATGGCCTATGAATATGATGGAAGAAGCCTAAAGACGAGTTTTTGCAGGCAGTAGAATGCAATAAACTTTTTGTGTTTTGACAATTTTTCTCAATGTATCTTACTTCTTTACCATTTTGCATCACCTTCTATTTTATGTATATTGTACATACGCATGTTTCTATTTTCTGGGAAAATAATTTATTGTATTGAATCTTCAGGATATTGAGAGGACAAAGATATCATTACAGAGGAGGCTAGAGATCTCGGTCTCACAAAGACTTCCATGTTTTTCCTGTCATCGGCCATTTGTAGGAACTAGGAAGGGGAATAGGGAACTGTTCTTTGTTCGTCTTTGTTTATTTTTTTTTTCCTTTTATTTAAGAGTGTACCTAAAGGTGGAATTTTAAGAGAACTGTTAAATTTTGGTTCATTTATCAAGTTTATGTTGTAATTTTGCAAGATATATTAGCCTTATTCTATAGTTCTCTCTTCGTTAATGTTTTTTCCCTTTTTGGTATTGATTTTAGATAAATAAATTTTGATTGGCATGGCGTTTCTTGGCCGCCAGAATTACTGTCTCCCGCAAGTGCTAACTGTGGTTGAAAATTCACAAGGAATAATCTTCTAGGAGGGTGTTCTTTTTTTGGATTTTGAGAGGAAAAAGTTGGTCAATGGGATTTTGATTCCTATTGACCAAGAATCTGACGTTCATTTTTCAGATTTATGTGGGGACCAAGGAAAGTTTATTTTCTTGGGTATCACTTACCGATACTCATATTCAAGGTGGGCAAATAACTTTCCAATCTAGTATTTGAATGTGACAAAAATGTCCCTTTTAATAATGGATTTTTATGGTTAAAATGGGCATTACTTTATTTAATAATGGATTTTTATGGTTAAATGTATTTACCCGAGTAAGTCTTTTCTAGGATAAATTTACCTAGATAATTGCATTTATCTAGATAAATAACTTGCCAAAAAATGAATGGGACCTAAATGTTAGGATACGGACTTTCATGCAATTTTGGACTTTTTAACTTACAAGAAACTAGATGGTTTTGTCTATTTCATCATTTAGTGGTATTATAGTTCATTGTTTTATTAAATTGTGTAACCCAATTATTTATGTTAGTACTTTATACCAAAAAATAATTATTTATGTTAATGATGCATATTGTAAAGCTCCTCTTGATTTTTCTGGAAATATAGAAACTCCATTTTGTGGTAAGTCTTAAATATGACCCTGTGATGTGACGACTGATAACAAACATGCCACAGTTGCCACTAACACATGCAAGTCATCCCTTTGACTCACTCACAACACAAATACACACACTAAAAATGGGGTTGGGATATTCTACAAATTAGCAAGATGTGTACAGTACAATGGTCTACGTAACCCAATCAGAAGTGAACACTTCAGTGGTTCATATATTCCTATTGTGGTTAGCCCATTTTACATGCCTTAGGCTGTGGACCTATACATATAACCAGTGTACTATTCCCACTCCTGTGTGTTCTATACTTTTCATAATGAAGCACAGAGGGCCTGGCCCTGGCGTACGCCCACAAGAGATCACCTTTGTGGAGAGTCCTGCTTTAAGAGATAAAAGCAACAATATAGTGCTTGCTCTTTCTGGTGGGTGGTGACCATGGATGCAGGATGCTTATACCCTTTTTTATGTTTTATTATGTACAACGGCTGCTGGTGTGGTGGTTAGAAATATGCTTGGATCCACTTCAATTTCCTCTTTTTTTTTTTTCCCCTCATCAACTCATTTCCCATTTACATTCTTCCATTGCTAAAGAAGGCTGGGTTGCCCAATTGAGATTTAATGCGGTCAAAGATGCTTCGGTATTATGGCTGCAAGTGCACTAACTCACAAATACATTACAAAACACATTACAAGTAATGTATCAAGGTTTTTAAAATCAGACCGGACAGGAAACCGTTTTAGGACCAGTTCTTGGGTCAAATGGCTTGACCATCCAGTTTCAATGGGCAATCCCGCTTTGACTTAAAAAAACTAAAAAAAATAAAAAATGGTCAAAAACTTATCTGGGTCAATGGTTCGACAGTTTAACTGCCCGGGTCAGCAGGTCACTGACCAAATCAATGATTTTTGGCCAAAAAATGGTTTTAGGGTGAAACAGAGCTGATTACCTGACCGGTTTTTGGTTTTCCTGTCCGACCGTCCGATCTTGTCTAATTTTGAAAACCATACTTTGTATTGCGATGGGTATTCAACTTTTCTTGAAACTTGTCTTTTCTTGAATCCCACCATGTCTATCAAGCAAGGCTTCATGAACTTATTGTCCTAGTTGCATTTACATGAGTTAGAGGAGTTCGGATCTGTTCCTCACAAACCACTCTTCACCCCACCAACCTCAAAGCACGTCCCAGCCGCACATTAAGAACATCTCTTGTACTTGTTTGTTGTTATTCATGGGGAGATGCTCTAATACAAGGTAGGGTGTACTGTGAGGTTGGTGTAAAGAGCAATATGTGAGGAACAAATCACAATTGTAGGTTGGAGTAAAGTTCAAAATATCGATACGCCCGATACACCCTGCCAGTATCAGTAGATTTTTTTTAGCTTTTTTTTTCAAATCTAGTTTAGCGGGGTCGATTTAAGGTCTTGTCCACCCTCTGAACTGGTCAAAACCAAGGTTCAAAATATTGATACGCTAGATATGCTGGTAGAGGCATATTGGGCAGTATTGGTAGTTTTCTTTTTTCAAATCCAGTTCAGAGTGGCTGGTTTAAGGTCTGTCCACCCCCTAAACCGGTCAAAACCCCGATGCACCCTCTATAGGGTATATCGGGAAGCTCCTGATACGATACGGGCCGATACGTATAGATACTTTGGACCTTGGTCAAAACCCCGATACACCCTCTGTAGGGGCGTATTGAGAAGTTCCTAATACAATACATATCAATACTTTGAACCTTGGGTTGGAATTAAAAACCCTCTACTTTAAGATGTTATATTTGATTTTTTTTAATTTGAAAAATTAATTACAAAGTCAAAGGGGTTTCATTAACGAAGCCAGACAGAAAAAATCGGGGGGATTAAAACCTTGGGCTCCATTTGTTTGCGATGAGAATTTCATTTTGCACTGGTGTAAATGAATAAGAGTGCATATGGGCTTGATTTACTTTTGCTAACATATTTGACTTTGTTCTGTTTGTCTCAAATAAGTAAATAAGAAGTAAAATGATATGGCTCCCTTTATATAAAAGAGAATGGTAGTGGAACGAAGATTATTTGTTTGGGAGGAGTCAGGTAGAAGGCAAATTGATATGATCCCCAAGAGAATTAAAGTAGGAGGAAAATGATGCAAATTTTGCATCAGTTTTTTAGATGTAAAATTTGCACCGCTAATGAGACCTAAAGGAATTTTCTTGGTAAAACAATTAAGAAATGGAAAAACATTGCAGGAACATAATTGAAAGTACAATTATATCTAAGACAAAAATTATAAAGAATATCTAGTAAGAAAAAACACCATAAAGGCTATCTATGGTTTGAAGGAAAAAGTAGGGAAAGGTAGGAAAACCTTGACAAATCTTGTATAGGTTTTCTTACCTTTCCCTACATTTTCCTTCAAACCAAACATAACCAAAAGGAGTAATGAATAAAAGAATTATAATTAGGGGGTGCAAGTTAGGTACCCGATTTGAAGAATTTATACATTTTCCCATTTGAATTTAATAATGCTCAACTAGAGCATGCCAAAATTGTATCCTTGATCATAGTAGTGGGTGGGTAAGTTGGTGGCTCCCATGGAAAAGAAATAAATCCATGTTTGTATTTCATATTAGTGGGTTCTGAAGAAAAGAATGATTCTTAAGTGGCTCATTTACTTGGGCAAGTAATATCCTCCTTAGACTTGAGTAATCACTTACCTATCTGTATCGGAAATTGCTAATACGTGATGGGAATATTGTCCCTTTAATAATGTCACTTTTTTTTAATAAAATAATCATTATACAACTTTACCTAGGGAATAAAAGAATGTTGGTAAATGCATTTATCCAGGTAAGTATTTTCTAGTGAACACTTGCCGAAATATGTGCATTTACCCAAGTAAATGACTTACTCAGACATGAATGAGGCCTTTATATTATTTATAAGCCTTGAATACTTAGCAATGTGGTACCCTCTAACAACAAAGATAAATCAAAGGAATAACCATGCAAAAGAAACTAAGGGTTCATTTGGTTCGCAGCTAGGACTAGAATCAGAATTGGATTTGAAATCCTATAGAATTTGAATCAGAATCGCCTACTCTTGACATCTATTTGGTTCAATCAAGAATTGGAATTATATTGGATTTTGATTGTTATTGTTTGGTTCATTAGGAGTTGAATAATTAAATTAATAACATTTTTATTACTATATTTTATTATAATTTATTAGTTTATTAATTTCTATTATTTTTGTTTATTATTTTACAAATAAATTATTATTATTGAATTAATATTTTTATTAATTAGGAGTTGAATAATTAAATTAATATTTTTATTAATATACTATCATTTATTATTATTATTATTATTGTTATTATTATTATTATTATTATTATTATTATTATTATTATTATTATCTTATTATTGATTTAATAATACATTATCATTTTATTAATATCAGGATTTGGGGGACTTTTTGTCATGAGTTCTTTACTTTTTGACAAACTCTAGGATGGGAGTCCCTCCCATCCCCTAAGGGGGTTTAGAATGGCCATTCCCCCATATGGGGGGATTCCCCTAAGAATGGAAATCTGAATCTCATTCTTGCCAAACAAGGCATGTATTCCCAAAACCAAATAGACCCTAAGTTCATAAGGCTCCATTTATACATGGGTGGAAAATTTCTTAGGTTGAAAATAATATTTGAACTATATTTTCCCCTTCTATAATGAAAAGTTTGTCCATTTTGTGTTAGTGGTTTGACTATCTGTCTCAAATGAACAACCCGTTTCAATTTAAAAAAAAATTAAAAAATAAAAAATGACTAAAAAACTGCTATTTAGGTCGAACGGGTTGACGATTCCACCACTCAAATAAGTGGGTCATTGACCAAGTCAATGATTTTTTTGTCAAGGGATGAGTTAAAGGTGAAATAAAACCGATTTTCAAATCGAATGATCCAACTGTTCGGATCAACGATGATTTGAAAACCATGGTAGAAACATAAACAACACATTTACTGTGAAGGATGCATAAATACTAACCAAAATATTTCATTAAGCTCGGTTTATTTGTTTGCAGTGCAATTTTATTTATACCGGTGCAAAAAGTTTAAGTTCAGCTTTTACCACATTTCGTTTGTTTGAAGTTGGAAAGAGGAAAATAAAGCCTAAAGCAAAATAAAATCTAGAATAAAATTAAACCAAAATTTACACTCTTCTTACTTGCATTTACATTAGCACAAAACAAATTACACTTCAAACAATGTAATCTGAGTGAAAAAAAAATATATTAAGGCTCAGTTTGGAAGGATTATCAATATAAATATGTATAGGACAAATATACAAAATACATATTTTTTCACATTTCCGGTAGGATTGTTCATAACAAGACCCAAACAAACCAAATCGACCAACCCGGTCCGATCCAACCCGAGTTGGTTGGTTTTTCTTCAACACCGGTCGGTTTTGGGTTACAAAAAATATAAACCGATGGTTCGGTTCGGTTCGGTTTTGGTTTTCATGTGTGAAAACCGAAACCGAATCGACCTGAACCGACTTAGATATATATATATATATATATATTTCAGCTTTATTTCAGAAATATATAAATTATATACAAAATTTCTGATATATAAAATATCAGTTTTGATCCATCAAATTATTTTTAATTTTCAGGCATCCAACTTTTGCTTTCTTAGACTTGAATCCTTTACTGTTTACACCGAAAGAATCATTTACAAAACCGATCCAAACCGATTCAAACTGACTAGGTCAGTTTTACTTAGTACTGGATCAGTTTTTATTTCATTTCTAAGTAAACCAACCAGGTCATATCGATTAGAAAAACGCCAATAAACCAACCCAACCCGACCTATAAACAGCCCTAATTTCCAGGGCTCGTATTGATTTGGGGCTAAACCAACTGGACTCGAGCCTCGGCCCAGCTCACACAAGCTTGATTACGGTAAATCTGTTCGCTAAACTAACCAATGATCATGTGAATTCAGTTCAGTCAACCTAGAGAGAGATGTGGCACGTGCCATATAACTGAAGACGGGAGCGGTTCAACCATCAATGATCTCAGGTCTCACCCACATGCAGTAAAGGTGGCCAACATCTGTGATATGAGGACGATCAACTGTACGAGTGGGTTGGTTTGTCGTAGCCGTTGGATCGAAGCCTGTAGCTGTAGAGGTGGGACCCTATTCAATTTTCTATCGTTATCCTTATGATGCTCTGAATGTCCTCCACCTGGACCACCTTCCTCGTAGCCTTCGTCAGCCTTCCATGGACACGTTTTTCAGTCGCAAATGCGGGGCCCATAAAGTTAGCGATGCGGGCCCATACTATATTTGTATCCAAGCCCTTCATTAACGAAAAGGAAAACCGCGGCCGGCCCATGGGCCTTCCATCGGTTATAGAAAGAAAAGATATAAAATCTATCTCTTGATCTCTTCTACTACTGGAACTCTCCCCCCTCTCTCTCGCTCTTCGTTTGTCTTGATCTTCTGTTCCTGTAAGCGTCCACGGGATCTGAGCTCTTATTTTCTTCAGCGGCCCTGTAGCAAGGGTTGATTCATTTGAAATCTTTCAGTTGATCTTCTATCGTGGTAAAGCTCCATCAATTTTCTTGATTACTTATTTTCTCTTTTTTGTTTTTTTTTTCAGTGTTATTTTATCCTCTTTTCTATGTTTTGTTGTTGGATCTGTAAGAATCTTTATTATCTCAAGGGGTAGAGATTGTTTTTTGAGGAAAGGTGGAATCTTTATCTGTTTTAGCGGTTGAAATCACACTTAATGCAGACATCTGTGGAAATAATGTATTATTTTATTTTAAATTTTTAGGATTCGATTTGGCTATTAGTAGTTTCTTTTCTTGAAAGAACTGATCTTTTTTGAAAACAGTTTATGATAATTTGGTTTTACTCTTGGTTTTGTTGTTTCGTTGAATTATTCATCTAGATGACTTCATACGTTTCTACAAGGCTGAACCCTGGTTGATTTTGGTTCATTTTTTCCCATGATCTCTGTATTATTCTGTAATAAATGTCTGAATGTTTGAATCCTTCTCTCTCTATCTCACTCCCAACTTTCTTTTCATGATAGTCAACTCAACTGAAAGCAGTTATTATCAAGAATTTGTTTTAGTAATTTGAACCCGGTTGCTTCATTCGATATATGAATTTCTCCTCTCCGTTTTTATCTTTTAATAAAGGGTTTCTTTCTATCTGTTTGATGTGTTCTAATTAGGAACCGATCAACCGAGGGTTGTACAAATTCATTTCTTTATCAAATAGCCGGTGGAAACCATGGTTGTGGAAGTCTTGGCAGCCGATTTCACACAGGTTCCTGTTAAGGATGGAAGCGACGAGAAAGGCAGTGCAAAACTAAATCAGGGTTCAGGGCTCGATGAACCGATCAAGTTTGGTTCACATGGAAATGATGGTGCCATCAAGGCAGAGATGGAGACCATTTCAGATGTCCCGAAGGATGCTGTTGATGAATGGCCTGCACCCAAACAAATTCATACTTTTTATTTCGTCAAGTTTCGGTCGTATGAAGACCCAAAGCTGAGAGCCAAAATCGAACTGGCTGACAAGGAGCTTCAGAAAAGGACTCAATCCCGAATTCAGATCAACGACTCCATAAGAGCAAAGAGGGTACTTGAAAGATTTTCCTTTCTGCTGGCATTTCTTCCCTTGATAAGAAAACTTGGGTGGAGGCTTGAACTTCTGTTTGTTTTGTTTGTTAACCTCTTATTTTCTTGTGTGAGTGTGCAGTGTGCACATCCGAGTATGCTTTCTTAACAATATGGCCTAATATAGCGTTTAATAAACCCAATAAATTGAGTTTCTGAACATTTAATTCTGCTGCTGTTGTTTGAGCAGGCAGAACGAGCACAGGTTATTGCACAATTGAAACCTTTAACTGCTGAGGACAAGCGATATAGGTCCATTGTGGATGAGAAGAGGAAGGAAATGGAACCTCTGCAACAGGCTCTTGGAAAGTTGCGTAGTGCAAACAATGCAAACCGAGAGAGGGGTGTTGGTTTGTGTTCATCTGAAGCAGAGCTTAATGATCTTGTAAGTTTAGGATGGAAACTTCGAAATTGTTTTGGAATCCTATTCACGGCATTTTAGTGTTCATCATCCTGTATTAATTCCTTTCAATGGGAATATGGAAAAACAGATCCAGAGCTTGCATTATCGAATGCAACATGAAAGTATATCATTGGTTGAGGAGAAGCAACTCCTTAGAGAAATCAAGCAGCTTGAGGGGACAAGGGAAAAAGTTATCGCTAATGCTGCTATGAAGGCAAAGATTGAGGATTCTTTGGGTCAGAAAGAGGCTATTCAAGATCAAGTCAAAGTAAATTTCAGGATCTAATGTTGGTCCTTTCTTGCTTCTTCCCACCCCCATGCAACCTTTCATTTATCTTATGTTCTCCCTCTGGGGTTATCCACTTTGATCTTTCTACCACTTGACCATTTTAAGATGAAGTAAAATTTCATGCATTTCTGTTTCATTGTAGCTTATTGGAGTTGATTTGGATGGAGTACGAAAGGAGCAACAGGAAATTAGGGCAAAAATCAAGCATTTTGAGGAAGAACTGAAGGCTATTGACAACGAAATTAGTTCATTACAGGGGGAACTGACAGTTGTGAACCAGAAAAGGGATAAGGCATATGAAAGCCTTGTTGAATTGAGAAAACAGCGTGATGAAGGGGTATGCCTTTCCAACTCTAGTTACATTTTCTGCCCTATTCTCAAGCTTAACTAGTATTTGTTTGCATTCTTTAGGGTTATCATTTTTATGATGCTTTCTTTGAGTTCATGGAAAGTTACCTTGTTTCTTAGAAATGTCCATAAATGCCAAGTACATCTATTTATTTATAAGTGCCCAGTACCCTGCTTGTTCCAATAGTGGTGCTCTACTAAGTAGTAACACTCTACTAGTCTTACTACAACTAAACAAACCAAAAATAACTTCAAGACTAACCGAAAGAAATAGAAAGATTGAAATCCTGTTATGTAAGGACACCTACTACTAGAATGACCATAACTCCCTCAAAACATGCAAGATACAAGATCTTGGTCTTGTTGGATGGATAACTAAATTACCTACATAATGGCACTTATACCATGCAAAAAGCAACATGGAAGTTTGATCCCTGAAATATAATTTCAAAGAAAATGATGTAAACTGTATTTTCAACTTATTGAAATCATAGTTGTCAAGGCGACTAGGCGGTTTTACAGTGTCGCCTCGCCCAAACACCTATAGTTTTGTATACTAGGCGACCGCCCTGAGACTTAGGCGGGCGCCTAAATCCAGCTTCAGTGCTCTTCTTTTTTTCGAAAAAACAGGGGCTCCGCCCCTATACTCCTCCTTTTTCTTCTTCTTCTTCTTCTTCTTCCTCTTCTTCTTCTTCTTCTTCTTCTTCCATCCCAGAGTCAATGCTTTTTTTTTTCAAAAAAACAGGGGCTCCACCCCTATTCTCCTCCCTTCTTCTTCTTCTTCTTCCAGCTCAGATTCAATGCTTTTTTTTTTTTTCGAAAAAGAGGGGCTCTGCCCCTATTCTCCTCCCTCCTCTTCCTCCTCCTCCTTCTTCTTCCTCCCTTCCTAGTTACTGGCCTGTACTTATTATTTTTAACAGCCGAACCTACTCTACTCCCTTCCTAGTTACTGGCCTGTACTTATTATTTTTAACAGCTCAGATTCAAGCCTCTCTAATATGACTTTTTAAACTAATTTCACCCTTTAAAATGACCAACCCTATTCCTGAGACACTAGTAAACTAGAAAATGCATATAAGAAGACATAAGATGATAAGAATGATAAAACCAGAACACCGGAAATTACGAAATTGCCGTTGGATGAGGAATCAAGAAAAACTGATTTCTTTTCTATGAGTTCTATTATTTGAAACTGAAAATTGAATATGAGATGACATACTTGTTTATATTAATGTTATGCAATTTATGTGAATTTTTAAATCTGAAATTTTGATTTGTAATTTTGCAAGTGATGTATTGATAGCTGATGATACATAATATAATTAGGGATGGCTCTATTATTAGAAACTGCAGATTTGAAGTTTTCTAATTTCTCATAATTTCCCCTTTTGGGATACTTACTATGTTTATGTATGTATGTATTCCTTTAATTATTTTAATTATTTATTAATTAAAAACTCCATACTTGGGAGGTTTACACCACATGTGTTTATTTTATGCTTCATGCCTTGGGATAGTGGAATGCCTTGTGACACACATTGGAAAGGATAATAATAGGAATTTGTACTGATTAATTATATAAAAACTTCAGGCCAAAGGAATGGGTTCACATGGTGAAAGGGATCACCTTGCTCATTTTTTAACAGGCTTATGACCTTAGAATTGAATAGGAAAAAGATTGATGCGACTAGCGCCAAATAGGTCATAGGTGGAATTAGCACATGGTGATGATCACAATAATATCTAGTCTTTACTCCATGGTAATTGCCGTTTTTCCTTTCATCTGAACAACAAAAATTATACAATTGCTTTTTCTATCTTGCTAAAAGTCCACCCCCAATCCCCCATTCACAAATCAATAGAAAGCTTTAGTAATTTAACAGTAGTCAAAATCTTAGACTCTCTCATGAGTACCGATTAAAATATAGAAACATTTGAAAGATGTTGAATTGAAGAATAGAATAAGATGACAGTTCTCTCAGGAAGATGAACTGATGGAAAACATTATGGGTAGTATTAGATTGTGGTTCTTCATGAGGAAGGAGTTTAGAGATGCTTCTCTTGATGACCTGGTCCTGATTTTAAGAAATTTTTAATGTTTTGTAGATGTCTGTTCAGTTATTTGTTTTGTATAGGTCTTCATCTATTGTAACACATAGTCAGTTATTGTAAATGAAGTGATTCTATTTGTAGCCATAGAGGCAACTGATATGCTTGATGTTTTATTTTTACAAAGTGAACCCCAATATATTCCCTTGGTCTTGGAGATGTTGTGAAATTGTTTCCTAGGTGACCTGAGCACTGACATGGCTGGGATGCCTAATCTTATATACTTGTGTAATCAACTCTTTATTCTGGTAATTTTCTTCCACTTGTGAAATAACTAAATGATTCATTTCCTTTTTTTCATGGGATCTAAAACTATCTAGTGTACTATAATTCATTGAACTGTAAAAAACCAAATGACTTGTGTTGTATAAAGAAAGAAAGGGGTTGTGTGGGATGGATTAGGAGGGTCTTGTATTATGGTGATTATCAATTTATCATTACCATTTAAAATTATTGTTAAGGAAGTGGATGTGTTGATTCAGGAAGTGCCTAACATGGACTTCACCAGGATGTCAACTGGGGCGCCAACCTAACCAGGAAAACCTGGCAGATTGGCTATGTTCTTCAGTCAAACAAAATCATGTTGGATAGGGCCAGAAAATGGCAGTGTTGATCCATCTCAAATATTAATCAAATCAGTTTAAGCTAACTCAAATAGAAATAGTAAATGGGGATGGTGCTTTGGTTGAAGCATTGCTACATAAAAATCCATCTTTGAAATTGAGAATTTAAAAGTTTATATTGTATTATGATTGTTGATCCCCCGGAAGAACATTGTTTTATCTTTCACAATTATGAATGCTGAGTTGTTTTAATATTTAATTCGTTCACAAGTTTGATTGTGATCATATTTCCTGATACATCATTGTGGTTCCTTGTCCATTCAGAATGCTCACTACTTCCAGAATCGTTCGACCTTAAACAATGCCCGGGACCTTGCTGCAAAGAAGGATGTGGCAGCCCTAGAAGAATTATCTCACATTGAGGTCTGTTGGCTCACAGGCTTCTGTTTGTTTGCAGTGCATATCCAAATTGGGTGCAAATTTTGTGCCCAGTTTTTTCTCTTTTTTTTCCCATTTTGCACCCAGTTCAGTTTCGTGCATGTTTGCTTGACACTGATTAGAACCCTATCTGATATGAAATTTGCACATGTTCCTCCCACCTTCATTTTCTCCATTATAAGTGGGGATCAAGTCTGAGTAAAATCTGAAGCAATCCTTTCTAGGGGTCTTTACATATTATATTTTTTAGTCTTAACTTCATTGTCTTTCCAAATGGTCAGGTTGAGAAATTCATATCCATTTGGAGCAGGAATAAGTCTTTTAGAGATGATTATGAGAAAAGAATCTTGCCATCACTTGATATCCGGCAGTTGAGTAGGGATGGGAGAATGAGGAACCCTGATGAGAAGCCACTAGTTTTAGAGGCACCAGCAGCTAGTGAGCCAGAGGCAGTGGCAAAGATAAACATAAAACAACCGAAGGAAGAGCCTAAACCCATTCCCCAACATGACACGATCCCCATCAAGAAGGTACAGAAAGAACATAACAGTAAATTGACAGAGTTAGTATCCACCACAAAAGCTGGTGATCCAGATGAGGAGAGCGTCTCATTGTCTGAAAAAACAGTAAAGGAGCCATCTACCACCAATGAGATTGATGCAGAAAAGTTGAAAGAGATGAAAAGAGAAGAGGAAATTGCGAAAGCGAAGCAAGCTTTTGAGAGGAAGAAGAAGTTGGCAGAGAAAGCAGCAGCGAAGGCGGCTGTAAGGGCTCAAAAGGAAGCTGAAAAGAAGCTCAAGGAAAGTATTGTTTTGATTTCTGAATTTCCTAGGTATTTATAATTTGCTTTTCTCATGGGTTTTGAGATCCTGAGGCGCTTTTTTTCCTCTGTTATTCATTCTCAGGAGCGTGAAAAGAGAGCAAAGAAAAAGGCTGCAGCATCAGCAACTCCTGCCGGTTCTGAGGAGCAAGCTGAGGCAAATGGAGAGGTTGCCGAACCAGAGGCGGCGGAAGAAAACATTGAATCTCCAGTTCCGTCCAAAATTAAAGAGCAGAAGGAGAACCCTGTGAATGTTAGGTACAGAAATCGAGCAAAAGGTCAAGATCCAGTTCCAAAGGCAAAAATGACGTTTAGACGCAAAAAGTCAACTCCATACTGGGTATGGGCTGCTCCTGCAGCTTTGCTAGTGGTGGTGCTTGTAGCAGTTGGCTACTACTATTTTCTGTGAGAAACTAACGAAGAATTAGCTTTAGACCAATTTTCCAGCTGACGAGCTTGCAGCTGGTTTGGCCTTGTAGTAGGGAAATTCTTGTTCTTTGCATCCTTGAGAGGGGGGATGGCTCTAAGCTCATAATGTTATTGGTTGCTAATGTGTGGTGCTGAGGTAATTTTAGGAAGCAGCCAAAGCTTTTTTTGTTTTTTCTTTTCTTTTTTGGTTTGAGTGGTATACTATAAAATTGTGACAATTACCAGAACATTTTACATTTTAATTAGAAGACATAGCTGGATGCTTGGACCTTGCTCAAATTTGTTTTGGATGCTATCATATTCTAAGCTACAAGTCTATAACTCAGAAGTTGCTCTAGTCAAATATCGAGTATCATTGCCCATGATGTCATGTTTAGTAATTTGGTTTGTTCATCTCTCTCTCTCAAAATAAAGAAATAAATAAGAAAAAAGCCCGGAGTTGGGACTGAACAGAATAAAATTGTAAAACCGGATTCATGTGGCTGATGAGGCTTAGATGATGATGATGAATTGAAGGTTACATCAAATAGAATGAGGTATATAGATTATGATGCGGTACATTTATATACTCCGGTTCAGGTTTGTAGGCTTTGTTTGCAATACAATTTTGCATTGTAAAATGGTGGGAAATTGTATTTTCTGACAGTTTTGTTTTGAGAAATCGAGACATTTTCATATTGACTTTTTCAATACAAACATTTGCTTTCTTCGAAGAGAGAGTACACAAGCTTCATGGATGCATCGGTCGTTCATGGGAGGTGGTCACCGTTACTGCTAAACCCTACTACAACGGTAAGTTATCGTCGTCTATTTCCTACTACAGCGACAACAAATCTCACTAAAAATCCATCAAATATGACCAGTAAACATGATTTTCCATTTTTTTTTACTGACCACTCTCTTATTTTTGTAGATTTGTGCTTCCTATTTGTTGGTGTTCTTCGTTCCACTCATTGCATACAAGTGTTGTCCACTCTAAACCACTGCCTATTGGAGACAGTGACCTTCCTCTCAAACATAATCAGTAACAGATCTACCATCTTTTATGGCAAATCTGAGTTATGTATCGGTGGTACTTGAAATAGCAGAGTTAATGATAATGTGGATCAATGATGAAATCCATCGTCATGTTTCTATTTATTAAATGTTGCTACACATTTCCAAGAATCATTGAATCAGTCCTCTCGAATATACAGTAAAGCTCTCTTCCAATGTTCGCTTCATTCTAATGTGCATCGATTGCATCTTTCAAAGGTAGGTAGTTCCAAAGTTAGTCGTTTCAGCTCCCTAGGTGAGTTAATGTGAGTCTTTGTTCAATGTAAGTTGGTTCACCTTCAACCGACTCCATCTACTATAAAAACCCCTCTTCTATACTGATTCGGATATCAGAGAGAAATAGCAAAATACATTTACAAAATCTTTTCTCTCGTTCAACTAAGTTCTCTTCTGTCTTTTCTATCATATTTTTTATAGTATTTACTGTTACTATCATCTGCAAACCATCACTATTTATAATAGTTAAGAGTTGTACACATACAAGGAGTCCATCAACAATGGAGTTTTACAATGAGTGTTATGCTAGGACTCATCAAGAGACCAATGATGCAGTAACTCTATGCAATAGGGAAATACACGTAGAGGTATATCTCCAATATGCCCCCTCAAGTTCCATGCTCATTGATCACATGGAGCTTGTTACGTAATGAAAGGAAGCGATCACCACTGAGAGGTTTAGTGAATACGTCAACAATCAGGTCACCCGATGAAATAAATCAAACACATAATCATCGAGCAAGAACCGGGTTCCGTAGAAAATGAAAGTTAACCTCGACATGACGAGTTCGAGCACGGAATATGGGGTTCGCTGCAAGATTGGTGGGGCCAATGTTATCACACCAGATAATAGGAGGTTTAGAAAGAGTGACACCAAGATCTCGGAGAAGAGAGAAGATTCAAAGAACCTTGGTGGCAAACGGTTGCACATGCACGAAACTCTGACTTTGTTTTGGATTGTGCAACTGTAGCTTGCTTGCGGGAACTCCACGCAATCAAGTTTTGACCCAGATAAATAGAAAAACCTCCGGTGGACCGCCGATCATCAAGGCAACCGGCCCAGTCAAAGTCTGAGTATGCATGAAGGGAGAGAGAGGAGGAACCTCGAAATAAGCTCAACCCATGCATGATAATGTGTTTAAGATAACGTAAGATCCTCTTTATTGTTGCCCAATGCTTGTCCGTTGGAGACTGAAGGAACTGAGATGCCTTGCTTACTACAAAAGAGATATATGGTCGTGTGATGGGCACATATTGTAAGGCACACGATGCTTCTGTACTCAGTAGGATCAGCGACAGGGCAGCCATTATATTTAGAGAGTTTGGTATTGACCACCATAAGAGAAGAGATGGGTTTAGCAGAATCCATGTCAGCACACTGTAGTAAATCACATATATATCGACGTTGGCTGAGAATAATTCCCTGAGGGTGTAGAATAAACTCAATGCTAAGGAAAAAGGTAGCAAGTTCGAGATAGAGTGTGATTGATTTTGAGCAGTAAACGAACAGTGAAGTATCAACCGCAGAAGCCCAAAAGCCCATCTTGTTAGTTGAAAGGTGAGGTGAGAGTACCAAGCACAAGGTGCTTGTCGAAGCCCATAAAGGGCTTTATGTAGCTTGCAAACATGATCAGGTTTAGACGATCTTCGAAACCCTTGGGTTGTTGGACATATATGTCTTCTTGAAGTTCACCATTAAGGAAGGCATTGTCAAAATCAATCTGATGAATGCACCACCGTTGAGAGACAGCAAGAGAGAGAATGGTATGGATGGTCACCGGTTTCACAATAGGGATGAAGGTAGTGGTGAAATCAACACTAGGAACTTGAGTGAATCCTGGTGCAACCAAACGAGCCTTGTAATGGCTAATGGTGCCATCGGCCTTCCGTTTAACTTTATAGATTCATTTAGTACCTACCACATGCATATTGGAAGAACATGGGACAAGATTCCAAGTGCCATTATTTGCTAGAGCATTGAACTCTTTTGTTATAGCATCACACCAATGAGCAGATTTCACAGCTTTGGAATAACTAGAGGGTTCAGCACTGTCATCATGTAATTGAGCCAACAAGGACTGAGGTAGAGGATACTTGGTAGTCAGATGCGTGCGAGGAGGTAGGGAGCCGTCCATAGACTGAGTAACCATGGTGTGTTGGCAACTAGGAGCTACAGAATTTTAAGGAGGAAGAGTAATGGTATTATCAAGGGTATCCTATAAGGGATGTGTTCCACGAGGACCAACTTCGGGGGAGATGGACACGTCTAGGGATGCCAATGTACTATTATGACTGTCAAGTGTCATAGGAGAAGAAGTGGACCTAGCTAGTGGTGGTGATGAGGGAACCATAGGTTCAGACGTGATGGGAGCAGCTCTGGAGGAGATGGGAGGTTGTAAATAAATTCCAGTAGACTGAATTGGATCTAATGAAGTAGCCATAGATATTTCGAAGAATCTGTGTTAGTCAAAAGACACATGGCGTGAAACATATTCTCGTCCAGTAGGAGGATGCAAACATCGATAACCTTTGTGCTTGTCACTATAGCCGAGAAAAATACATTGCTTTGAAAGGTAGTCGAACTTGGGTTGGTTATATGGTCGAAGCAACGGATAGTAAGCACACCCAAAAACCTCGAGGAATCAATAATCCGGAGGAGAACCAAGAACCTTGAAAGGAGACTTACCATGTAGAGTGTTGGTCGGAAGTTGGTTGATTAAATAGACTGCTGTAAAAGCAACAACTGCCTAGAAGGAAAAGGGGAGCGACGAGGAGGCTAGTAGAGACAAGGTGACTTCGTTTACATGGCAATGTTTCCATTAAGCATTCTCGTTCTGTTTATGCATGTGAGGGCATGTGAGTCTGTGAGTGATGTCGACAGAGTCCAAATATTGAGAAAATTTCCAATATTCTCCACTCCAATCAGATTGTAAGGCTTTGATTTTAGTATGGAATAAAACTTCGACATGACGCTTAAATGACAAGAATACATAAAAAACATCCGACTTTCTTTGTAAGGGAAACAACCAAGAAAATTTGCTATAAGCATCAATGAAAATTACATAATAACGAAACCCTACATTAGATAAAACTGGGGTTGGTCCCCATACATTAGAATAGACTAAGTCTAAAGGACCAGAAATAACTATAGAGGATGGGGGCAGTGAAAACCTATGACTTTTGCTCATTTTACATGACTCACATATTAGATTCAAACTAAAATTAAGTTGACCCTCATAGGGTAATCCAAACTGTGACACTACCTGCCTCAAAATTCACATAGCCAAATGCCCAAGTTGCTTATGCCAATCATTGATGGAAACACGTTCACCGACTAAGGTTGAAGGCTTATTCGTGCTAGACACACTTCCTGGAAATTGATAGAGATTGTCTCTATTGGGCCCTCACAATAGTGTTTTCCCCATATAATCCTTCACAAGAAAACGATCACCATGAAACTCAGTATAAGTTGTTATCATGAGCACACCTTTGAACAAATAACAAATTTTTAAACAAATCCAACACATGAAAGATATTGTTTAAAGCAAACTGATGAGTAGCAGTGTTAATAACTAATGAACCAAGTTGATTACTTGCCAAACCTGAAGCATTTCCCACTTTAACTTGATCAATTCCTCCATACACAGACCAAATTTGCAGATTCTCAATATCAGGTGTCATGTGATGTGTGGCACTGCTATCCGGATACCAGGTTGGATCAAACGAAGAAGGTGTAGAAGTAGTACTACTATTGTAGGCAATTGGTTCAGTCTCTTCATTCTTGAAGTTTAGATCATACCGGTGGCAACATTTCATAGCTCTATGCCCCGGTTTGTTGCATAGTTGATAGACAATGGGGTTACCACGACCTTTTCCTCCATTGTTTGTACGGTTATCTAAAGAACCACGCCCCCTGCCTCTGCCACGGTTATTTCTGTGAGCAATATATTGGGTATTATTACTAAAATTTTTACTTTTAAAATTAGCAATATTAACCGTGGGGGAGGTGGAATCGGTAGGGGTGGCATTCTGTTCTAACCATGACCAAGAAGAATGCCTAAAACATCATCAACATCAAGGTCTTATATATCAGACCTATTAGTAACTGCAATCACAATAAACTCATAATTGGATCCCAGTCCGACAAGTATGTAAAATCACTAATATTAACGTGTTTGGCAACAGCAGATAGACTATTAGCTATAGATCTAGTTTTTTGGACATACTAAAACATAGTCAGACCTCCTTTCTTGAGACTCTAGAGTTGTCTCCTATATTGAAGCAATCTAGAGCGAGAGTAGTTGGCAAAAGATTTGGTGAGAGCATTCCAAACTTCTTGTAAGTGATGACCAACCACTTGTCACTACAAGAAAAACAGTCTAAGCCTTAGATCTAAGGCGGCGATCATTGGTCCGCCATCTAAGTAGCTGCCAACCTAGATCAAAACTGCCGCCTTTGATACAAGAGACCACCGCCTTTGGTGGCCGGTCCGGGGTGGTCCAAATTTCATTAACGCGGCAATCTGTCGAGACTGCCAGCTTAGTGTTATTAAAGGTGACGTTTTTCATCGCTAACTTAGTGTTATTAAAGGCGGCGTTTTTTACCGCCGGCTTAGGTTTTGTCAAAAATTGTTTGGTTACTTGGGCGGCAGTTCAAACCGCCGACTTTGATCCTAATTGACCGCCACCTTTGGCTTAATCCAACATCATTTGCTTCCTTAAGCGGTAGTTCAAACCGCCAGCTTAGATCCAAACGACCGCTGCCTTAGGTGTTGTTTATGGCTAATCTAGCAGTTTCATGACCGCCAGCTTAGATATATATACATTTTTTAATGTTTATGCCAGGTTAATTCCGATATTTGTTGGCACATACACTTTTTTATTAATTCATCACTTTAATACATGCTTAACAAATAATTCATGATAATTGATATATGAAAAGCTAAGTTAAGAGACTTAAATTAAAAAATGCAATTTAAAACAAAATATATTAATTTAAAAATTAATTAATATCCAAATCAAACTATTCACATACAATATCCAGTTGACATATAAAAATACAAGGACTTTAAAAAATTCAATTTATCGAATAAGGTCCACATCTTCAAAAGCAAATCCACTTAGCGTAATTGATGAACCTGTAAATCAAAAACATATAAATTATTAAAGAATGTAAAGTAGTTGAGATAACCATTAAAAATGTATAAAAAACAAGACATTCAAGGAGGCATCCTAATTTAGCATTCTCATATCAATAAATGAATTATGCAACTAGTAAATTAACCAAATCAAATTGAAACCTCTATGGCATGACAGAGTTAATGTAATCAGATTGTAGCACATAAAAGCACATTAGGATGATTGGTCTGGATTTAATAGATAAAAGAA